TCCTTTGGTTGTGTCTCAGAGGTCTGTCCTTCAGGAGCGCATTAGAAATTATGTCCATGGTTCCAAGGAATGACAGTCCTCAGGGGACGGATAGAACAGCAGAGACCCAAGTAGCAGATAAGGGGCTGGTGACCCAGATGCAGGCACCTCCAGATATCCTTTGCCTGAGGACCCTTCCAGCCTGCCCCCTCTAGTGTGTGTGTGGGGACTGCTTCAGGAAGTGTCTCTTCCACAATTTCAAGAGCCCTGCTTGCTGCCTAGGGTGCTCTGCTCTCCTGTGCTGGGCTAGGGTCAATGCCAGGGCCACTCCCTGGGCTGGAGATGTTTTTCCTGAGCAGTTAACATTTTCCTGTCTCCTCCCTCTGGCTCTGAGCCTCTCCACTAAGCTGGCCAACATCATGAGACCCATTACTCCCTCCCCACCAAAACGTGAGGCCACTTTCAACTATTTGGCCTCTCTACCAGCCCCCAGCTTTGCCATCAGTGTCCAAGGGCTGCCGTCCCGGGTGGCCTGAGGCTTAGGCTGTGTGCAGCCTCTTTGTCCTGCCTTGTCCTGTCCTGGTTCTTCCGAAGGTAGGGCTGGGCCTTGGAGCACAGGGCCTACTGGGAGCCAGCTGGCCTGTGCAGACGGGGTGGTACAGTTGGGTCGGATGCCTGGTGGTGGGTGGGGCCTTGGGGCTGTGTTTTCAGAACTGCTCAGTTCAGAGCAACAGTGTGGACTCTATAGGTCATCCCAGCCAGGGTCTCCATCTCCCCACCTGGAACACTTGACAAAAATCCGCAGGATTCCATCCGGCTCAGTCTAGAATTTTCAAACACAGGTCATCCATGGTTGTGTGGTCCTGTAGATAGTCAGCATTCTTTTGGGGGGACAATGTCCATCGATGGGGGCCAAGGAAACCCAGTCTTCAGGCTGAAGTCACATAAAGGGGAACCAGGGTAGGACAACAGCTCCCCAGATAAAGGAGTGTCCTTCTTGGGAATGGGGGGATAGTGATCACACAAATATCCCCTGGAAACAGTTTGGTTCTCTCTCTCTCTCTCTCTCTCTCTCTCTCTCTCTCTCTCTCTCTCTCTCTCTCTCTCTCTCTCTCTCTCTCTCTCTCTGTGTGTGTGTGTGTGTGTGTGTGTGTGTGTGTGTGTGTGTAAGTCAGGGAACAGCTTTCAGGAATTGATTCTTTCCTTGTACTATATGGGTCCCAGACACTGAACTCATGTAATCTGGTCTGACCTTCGTTTACGGAGCCATCTTACTGCCCGCCCTAGGAACAGATTTCTAAAGACACAAATGAATACACCTGCCCCAGAGCCACACCAAACAGGGCAGACCAAGCCCCTGGCCACTGAACATACCCTACGGAGCCACCATGTCCCTTCCCACCTCAGATCCACCCACCAGCCTCCCTCCCTAAATCAATGTTGGAACTCTGGGCTCCAGAAGAAGTTTCTGGAACACATTAGAACCAAAACCTGTCTCAGTCCCAAATGCACCTTTTAGAGACTGAGTGTTTTCAAAGTCAGCCCAGTATGGAATCTCACACTTTAAAAAGCAAACTTTGTAAATCTGTGCCCAGGTGGTCTCCCATCCAAGTACTAACCAGGCCCGACCCTGCTTAGCTTCTGAGATCAGATGAAATTGGGCGCACTCAGAGCTTCAGGAAATCAGCTGGAGGTGAGATGCTGTGGAAGGCAGGCAGGTGAGAAGCCAAGGGCTTCCATCACTTGGACGGTGTCTCAAACCCCACCCCCATCCCATGTTTGCACACTGCCATGGCTGAAACGGGCTTGACCAAGTTCTTGTACCATGAGGACACACTTGGAGCCATCAGAATCTGGAAACACTGTCATTTTTGCCCCGTGCGTGTCTCTTACAAACTGTCCCCTCAGCCATCTCCGCTCAGGTGAGCCATCAAAGGCAGAAAATTCATTCTAAAACCAGATCCAGAGCTGGAGGGATGGCTCCATTGGTAAAGTGCTTGCCTAGGAGCATGAGGACCCACAATCGATCCCCAGAACACAGGTAAGAAAACTGGGGTTAACTGGCCAGCCAGACTAATCAGGGAGTCCAAAGCTAGTGAGAGACAGCGTTTGTCTCGTAAAACAAGGTGGGGCTGGAGAGATGGCTGAGTGGGTGTTTATACACAAGAATGAGGACTGGAATTTGGATACCCAGAAACGGTGTAAATGCCTGTGATTCCAGCCTTGGAAAGTGGAGGCTGGAGCTCCTCAGAGAAAGCTGGCTAATGAGACTAGCCAGATCTGTTAGATCGGGGTTTGATTGAGAGACCCTCAATGAGTAAAATGGAAGCATGATAGGTGATTCCCAACATCAACGTTGGACACCCAAATGCACACACTCCTTCACAGGCACACATGTGCATGCACACATACAAATATGCAAAACTATGCACACATACATGCATATCACGTACATACATAGAAATGGAAAAACAAAAAGTATGCAGCACACTCCCCCTGTCTTTCAACAGGTCCTCATGTATTCCAGGGTAGCCTCAAGCTCAGTAGTAGCTAAGGGTGACCCTGCACTCCTGATCCTCCAGCCTCCACCTCCCGAGTTCTAGGCGATAAGAATCTCAGTGCTGGATTGTGCGGTGCTGACGATGGAACCTAGGCTTTGTGTGTGTTAGCCAAGAGCTGCATCCCCAGCCCAGATGCTGTTTTTCTGTAGCCTTTCACACGAGCACCAAACACATGCTCCTCTCCGCCGGTACATTTCTACTCTGAGCAGTGGGATGTCTTGTTTCAGGAGATGGCTGAGGTGCCAGGTGCCCTGGCCAAGGACTGCCCTCACCCTGGATGGGACAGCATGCAGAGGTCTGTTCAGGAGTGGCTCCTCTCCAACCAGGAGCAGAGGTATCATTTCCTGTCTAGGAGACCCACAGCCCATGATTGGCACAAAAGAGGTACCCTCTGTGAACCATGCAGGTGAGAGCAAGGTCTTGGTAAGGCGCTGTACCCACGCCCCCACCTACCTGCCACCAGGAGCAGGGACTCAGTGGCACATGGTTGCGGGGTCAAAGGCGGCAGGAGGACAGCAGAGCAGCCATTCAGCTGTGAGCTGCTGACAGACCTCATCTCAGATCTTTGTGTTAATAAAGAGTCGAAGGCCAGAGCAGTGGCCTGATGTATAAGGTGTCTGCTGTGGAAAAATGAGGACCAGGGTTCAGATCCCCAGTGCCCATGAAGAACAAAGAAAGGAACGGGCTTGGTGGTCCACACCTGTCATCCCAGCACAGAGATGAGAATACTAGCCCACACCCCTATGAAGTCCACCATGCCTTCCTTGCCACGATGGACTGAACACTCTGAGCTGTGAGCCAAAATAAATCCTTCCCTCTGGGCTGACGAGATGGCTCAGCAGGTAAAGGGATTGCTGCCAAGTCTAATGTGAGTCTAATCCCTGGAGCCCACCCACATGGTGAAGCAAGGAACCAAACTCTGGAAGTTGACGTCTGAATCCACATGGCAGTCCTTTGCCTGGAACTCACAGAGACCTGCCTGCCTCTGCCTCCTGAGTCCTGGGACTAAGAGTGTGTGGCACTACTGCCCAGCTCATTTCCTTTTCTTTTTCTTTCTTTTTTTTTTTTTTTTTTTTTTTTTTGGTTTTCTGGTTTTTTGAGACAGGTTCTCTGTGGCTTTGGAGCCTGTCCTGGAACTCGCCGTGTAGACCAGGCTGGTCTTGAACTCACAGAGATCAATCTGCCTCTACCTTCCAAGTACTCCATTTCCTTTTCTTAATAGTACATCTCCAACCTTAGTTTGTCAGATACCAATGTATTAATTCAATAGCTTAGTCAGGATCCTGTGTGTTAAATTAAACACCACACATCCAACTTTTCACTGGGGGAGTCTAGGCAGATGCTCTTATCACTGAGCCCTCTTTTTATTTTTTATTTTTTGGTTTTTCAAGAGACAGGGTTTCTCTGTGTAACTTTGTAGACCAGGCTGGCCTCGAACTCACAGAGCTCCACCTGCCTCTGCCTCCCAAGTGCTGGGATTAAAGGCAAGCACCACCACTACCCGGCCACTAAGCCCTCTTTTAATATTTTATTTCAAGATAGGGTCTCACACGCTGCTATTGCCTTGAACTCACTCTGTAGCCCAGGCAGGTCTTAAACTTGTGACCCTCCTGCCTCAGCTTCCCACGTAGCTGGGATAACAGACCCACATCACTAAGCTGGGGCAATGGCTGTGAACCTGATGGATCAGCTAGGATGGAGAATTAGCTTTGCTCTGAGGCTCTGATCTGACAACAGTTTACCTCTGAACCTGTTTCAGCAGGGAGCCCTGAAGCTGTACCACTGCTTACCCTTCTCAAACGTATCACCACTTCATAAGAGGGCTCTGGGGCTGAAGAGATGGCTCAGTGGTAAGAGCACGGGCTGCTCTTCCAGAGGACCTAGCACCCACACCATGCATGACTCTCAACCAGCTCAAACTCAATTCCAGGGGATCGGATGCCCTCTTCTGGCATCTGTGTGTACTGCATGCTCGTGGTGCACAGACAAACATGCAGGCAAAGCCCGCCTATACTCAAGAAATAAATAATTTTTTAATAATGTATTATAGGTAAAGCCTGTGGTGGCTGGGAATGGTTTGGGTATGTTGGAAGCTTGTCCTCAGGGGCCAGGGAGTTCTAAGCTGAGGGAGCCCATGCCCTCAGAAGAGGCAGAAGGGCCTCAGCCACACTCAGCTTCCTGTCTGGTAAGAGCCTTCCCTCTCGCACCCATGCCAGCTGCTGCCACCTCCCTGAGGACCTCACAGGTGCTGATGTTAGCACCAGGTCCTTAAATACGACTGAACCTCAGGTGTTTTGCTTCAGTAACAACAACAACAAACTAAAACAGTTGGCTTCAAATTTAGGCTCTTTGAAGACACTTTGAGATCTTGGGGGGAGGGGCTTGGATATCCCATTAACCCTTGGGTCCCTCCCTGGGTGTGCTGGTTTTCTGACCCAAAGAACCACAAGAGTGCAAGGGTGCGGGCGCCACGCTTTACTCCAACTCTCTCCCACTTTCGTATTAAATATATCTGAAATATATTAATCTTAGAAAACAGTATTAACAGTGTTCCATGAATACAGGCTGTGGAGTAAACAAATCCAGATTGCAAAAGGGCGGGGTGTGCAAAACCCTGGAGTGTGAGGTGCCAGCGTCTTGGAAGTTCTGTGGTCTCCCGTCGGGAAAGGTGTAGCATCCTCCGCCTGATGGAAGCCGGGTGGCACAGGGCTCCATCCTCAAAGGACCACCTCACCGGGAAAGTCGCTGGGTTTAATGGGACAGCGTGGGTGCTTATTTGGTGCTGGGAGCTCAGTCTCTAAGCAGGTTTTCCGGCTTGGGGTAGCCAAAGAGAACAAAGTCGGCTTCGTAGAGTTTATAGAGCTGTTGCCTCCAGGCCAGGGGGATGTTGGCAAACCAGTCCTCCTCCCAGCTGCTGGCCGTCCTGTTCCGGTAACTGGGGGGGAAGTGGAGCTGGGAGTCCACTTTGAGGGACCTCAGGAGCTGGGCGGCATCCTCATCCAGGGTCTCCAGCTTCCCCACGAAGTCATAGTCTATCTGGCACGGGTGGCAGAGGCGGTACACCTGTCGCCAGTGCTCGTTGAAGGGCGCCAGCTTCTCGGTGTGTGGGTCCAGCAGGTACTGGATGAAGTTGGCGAAGGAGACCTTGAGACCAGCGCTGAAGGCCTCGCTCACCGAGGCGGGCAGGCTGGTGTGGTTGGCATACAGCCGGAGCATGGGCACCGCGAACTTGCGGTAGAACTCCTCGTTCTCCAGTTCGAACTTGCTGCGGAAGGCTGATATGAGGCGCACGAAGGGGTCTCTCACGAACAGGAACTTGGTATACTTCTTTAGCTTGACCTTCATGAGGTGGCGCGAGAACTTCCCGTAGCGGCGCCAGAACTTGTTGAAAGTCAGGTGCGTGCTGGAGTTGTGCACGTGCTCCCGGGGGATGTCCAGGGGGTCTCGGTAGGGGCTGCCCCGGTCCAGCAGGCTCTCGCTCAACACAATCATCACTCGTTTCCAGTTGGTACAGGCCACCTTGGGCACATAGCAGTAGATGACCCCGTGGCGATCGTCCACGATCAGGTGGTTGAGTTCGTAGTTGGGGATGTCATCAAAAGTGCGGTCCTTTGTGGGGAATGCCAGGCTGGCGTTGGCACAGAAGTCTCTCAGCAGGCTCCTCCTCTCCGCCTGCTGCCGATCCCGGTCTGGATTCTGCTGGGCATCATGGGTGGACCAGTCGTAGCCTCTCACGTTCTCCTCCATGTGGCTCAGGACCGGCTTGCTGGGAGCGAGCACTGGGGGCTGCTCAGTTTTTCTTCTGGAAAGGTCATTCTGCTTCGCACTGGAACTAAGTAGTGTGTCCAAAAACTCATCCACATCAGAAGTGAACACATTCTCACTGCCCAGGCCCGGGGTGGGAAGTGGCTCCAGGATGTGTGGCCTGGATAGGGATGTGTGCAGATAAAAGTGAGCGGTGCCCACGTTGTCCCAATATACGATGATCAAAAGAATCATGAGCGCCGACCCCAGTACCAGCCACAGGCGGAAGAGCCGAGGTTTGGTCATGCTGCCCTGGGCAGGGCCAACCCCGGGCCCCTCACTTCAGTCTTGTGTACAGCAGGGACATGGTGCTGGGAGACGAACCTGGAAAGTCCAGAACACACAGGTTAGAGGTTCAGAACAGCATGGGTTTTCCTCTCACAAGTAGGTAGTGGGTATTTGCTGATGTCAAGGACCTCCCCCACTTCCCATCAAACAGCCCTGCCTGCACTCCAGCATCTAGCCTCCATGTGTTGATTCTGGTTGGGGCTTCGGTTTCTCCAGGATGGAGTGTCACCAAAGTAAGGAGAGACTCTGTCCCTGAACTGAAAAAGGTCAAGGGGCTAGGCAGATGTCCCAGTGGGTAGAGAGTTTATTGTGGGAGCATGAGGACCTGAGTCAGATTCTCTGAATCCACTTCAGCCAGGTGTGGCCAGCACACTGTGCATGCCTTTCATCCCAGGCTGAGGCAGGAGGATCTCTGTGAGTTGGAGGCCAGCCTGGTCTACACAGTGAGTTCCAGGACAACCAGGACTATACAGAGAGACCCTGTCTCAAAAAGCAAAAGAAAGAAAAGAAAAAAGCTAAGTGTGAAGGTGTGAGCTTGTAATCCCAGGGGGTTCCTGGGTGCACTGGCCGTCTGTTGAGCACAGTGGACAAGCCTCAAATACTAGAGACACCCTGTTTCATCTAACACCCCCACACACATACGCTACACACATGTGCACTAACACACACTCACATAACACCCACTTACAAATTCTGAGATGGATGGTTCCTGAGATGGCACTGGAGATTGACCTAGGACCTCTAGTCTTCATATTCTCTCTCTCTCTCTCTCTCTGTCTCTCTCTCTCTGTCTCTCTCTCTGTCTCTCTCTCTCTCTCTCTCTCTCTCTCACACACACACACACACACACACATACAGACTAAAATTTAAAATTAAAAAAAAGGAGAAAAAATGGCTTCCCAGGAACTACCCATTCGAGAAGGAGCCAAGGAGGAGGGCGAGGAGGTTGACAGGAACATCTGTCATCAGGAGGCTATGGCTGAAGTTTATGCAATGCACAAGCCACCCTTCCTCCCATTGTGCATTCTCAGACCAAGCAAGTGCAGCTGAGCCAGGCCCTGCCACAGTATACAGTGAGACATCAGCAGAGTGACCTGCCTCTGGCACAGTCTGGCTCTCATGTGGACAGAGTGCCCAGATGGCATGGACCTGAAGTCCAGGTCAGGGGCAAGTGATCTGGTTTCTGGGTCCCAAAGCTGGTCCCCAAGGAAGTGCATCTGTCTCATCATTGAGGTCAGGGTCATGCTCACAGTAGCCTAGCAACAGGAAAATCGGTCCAGTAACACCCATACCATCAGCTAAGCATCAACAGGAAAGTGTATCAGGACCTCCCAGACCACTCTTCACCAAAACAGAGGTGTATTCCCACACCCACTCAGGTGCCATGTGATAGTCAAGGGGCCTGAGCAAGGGAGCTGATTCTCAGGCCTCACCATAGGAGCAAGAGACACTGACTGTCAGCAAGGTGGTGTGGTAGCCTGATTCTACCTGGTGTTGAGAGCTAGGAGATGGTTAGATGAGATGGTGTGAGGTGGGTTATCCAATTGACTCCCTGCCCATTTCACAGAAAGACCCAGGGTGGGTGGAGTCCACCATGACTCCCATCACCACAGCAAGGAGTGGGTGTGTTGAGAAATGTCATTCTGTAAATATGTGTCTGATTGGTTTGAATAAAGCACTCTTGGCCAATAGGGAAACAAGATAGGTGGAACTAGGAGTCTAGGAGGATTCTGGGAAATATAGTGAGGAGAGCTCTCGCCATGTGATCTCCCGGGAAGAATGGATGCGGCAGGAGTGCGTCCTCATAAAGATAAGTCCTTATAAAATATATATTAGTAATTATGGGTTAATAATCAAGTCAGAGCTAACCGAAAAGAAACTGAGCAAATGGCCAATAGCTTCATAATTAATATAGTGTCTTGTATGTTATTTGGGGGCTGAAAGAAGCAACAGGAACCAGGCAGTGGGCAGGAAGACTACATGTTACATATGATGTCAGCATGTAGGATATAAATTTCCACGTAGAATGACAAAAGCTTAAAGGGGATTTTAGAAACAAAAGAACAGAGAGAAGCATGGCTTCTTGGTAGCAGCATTTTTCTTGGGTGAGCTCTGTTTTGCTAGAGACAAACGGAGACTTGCTGGCCAGCACTGGTGGTAAACTTACCCCCACCATCTTGCAAAAACAGCAATTAAAACAGCCGCAGTTTTGATAAGCAATGTTGTTTAACAGACATGTGGCCAGGAAAACATAAAGATTTATAGTAAAGTCAGATTTAGATCAAGAAAAACCTGTAAAGGTTTAAGGTGTGTTTAAAAATGTATGTAAGCACTGGGAGTTGGTGGTGCACGTCTTTAATCTCAGCACTCGGGAGGCAGAGGCAGGTGGATCTCTGTGAGTTCGAGACCAGCCTGGTTTACCAAGCGAGTTCCAGGACAGTCTCCAAAACAATACAGTGAAACCTTGTCTCGAAAAACCAAAAAAAAAAAGTACATAGGCTTGGAAGAGACAGACAGATTTCCACAGAGAAACCCTGTTTCAAATAAATAAATAAATAAAAGTAAAAGAAATAGAGTAATAAAAAACCACATAAAGATGGAAATACACAGAGAGTCTGGATACTGTATGCTATTGTGTTTTTCAGTTGTCCAGTTGCTAAGGAAAAAACAACTACTAAAATATACTTGATTGTAAATGCTACTAAATTAATCCAACTTATATATTTTTAAAATGCTATGATTTCTGAATCTAAACATAAGGACAGGTTACTTGGAAAAAATATTTTATGTGGATTCCTTCCAGGCATCTGTGGTTTGATGAACCAAGACCCCCAGAAGCAGGGGCCCAGGTGATCCAGCATCTGAAACAGCTGAGATGATGCAGACTTACAGACTACAAAAACAAGGACTTAGCCAGGTTTCTGAGTTTTGTCATGATCCCCATGGTATGGACAGTGCCCCCTATCAACAGGAAGAAGTTTGGAATAAACAACATCCAAATTCCCAAATTTTGTTTATAAATCTTTATTTTCATTTAAATGGGATTGCTTATAAATTGGTTAATGATCACAACCAATCCCTTTTTAAAGGTAAAAGGGGATTATGGTATGGAAATGAATACTTTGTATTGGTATGGTTTTTCATTTATTGATACAAATTTAAGATCAATTTTGTGATATGTGTATTTCTCCTCTTGATTAAGCATTGTGTTTATACTGATCTTTTAAAACATAATACATAATAAAATCCAGATTATAGATAGTTACCTATAATAGTCAGAACTTATAGTTAGGTTAGTTAGGTTTTCTAGATATACAGAGATATATTTGAGATATATAGATAGTCTTCAAACCTTTCAAAGACCTTCAGAAAATGGCATTTAAAATGGTTTAGAGTTTTTCTTGACAATGAGAAATGTCTGCTCCTGGCACATCAATTACATCTGAAAGGAAGATGGGCATCGAAGGAACTCATTATGAAGTTTGCTTTCAACATGGCAAGATTAGCCTTTTGGGCAAGAAACTGTTCTTGCCTGGACTGTTTGACTGTTGCTGTATAATCTGGACATGCAGGACACACAGAAAAGTGACTACTGGATTTGGACAGTCCTTCAGGGTTCCTGCTTCATGGAAGAGTCTGACAGACTTTCTGCAGGACACAGAAAAATGACTGACAGACTGCCAATGCAGATGGACAGTTTGAAATTTCCTGCTTTGCTGAGAAGTCTTCCAGACACATGTGGCCTTTGGGCTGAAGATAGATGCCCCAATATTACAAAGGAACTTTGAGTGACTGTCCAGGTAGTGAGATGTCTCTGTCAATTCTAGTGTTTATATATTATCCTTCTGTGGTCTTTGATGGAGTTGAAGACAGATAGTTGTGATTATAGTTTTCCTTAGTTATGATAAAAAATAGGCTACATATAAGACTTTAGACTCACACAGATAGGATAGATAAACGTTACATGGGTAGACAAAGGACATGGAGACAGGGCTGGTTGGCAGTCTACTTTCTCCATTCCTCTCCACTGGGACAGACAATATTAGTCATATAAACATTAATCAAAAGCAAGCAGAAGCAGTTATATTAATATCAGATGAAGAAAACTTCGGAAGAAAATAACTTACTTAAGACAAGGAAAGATGTTGCATCATCACAGAAAATTCAACCCATAAAGACATAACAACCATAAATACATATTCATCATACAATATAGCTTCAAAATACATAAAGCAAAAATTCAGACTGGGGATGTAGCTCGGTTAGCAACTACTGAACCATGGATTCTATCCCCAGCACTGTATAAAAACAGGTATAGTGGCACATGCCTGTAATCTCAATAATCAGAAGGTGGAAACAGAAGGATCAGGGATTTAAGGTCATCCTGAGCTACAAAGTGAGTTTCAGGATAGCCTGGGCTACATAAGACCCTATCTCAAAAAGTTAGTGTGTGTGTGTGTGTGTGTGTGTGTATACATATATAGTTAAGGTATATTTAGGGGAAAATTCACAATTATCTTTAGAGACTTTAACATTCTAATCTTTTTTTTACATTTGATTTTGTTTGATTACATGTATTTGTGTGTCTGTCCATGTGGGTATCTGAATGCAAGTGCAGGTGCCCTCAGAGGCTAGAAGAGACTATTAGAGGGCCTGGACCTGTAGTTACAGATGGTTGTGATCCATGTGATGTGGGTACTAGGAACCAAACTTGGAGTCCTCTGTCAAAACAGTACATCCTCTTAAATGCAGAGCCATCTCTCCAGCTCTGACATTCCAGTCTTGATAATTGAGAGAACCACAGGACAGGATGTAACTGGCACACAAATGCTTCCTGATACAACTGAATTCACATTTTCACCGCCAAGCAACAAAGCATTCAATGCAGTAAGCCAGATGTAGACATGGCTAACGGAACTGAAACCATTCAGAACTATTTGGTTACAATGCTATAAAAACAAGATATCATATCAGAAATGTAATAGAAAAGTCTCCAAACACCTGGGAACCAAATGGCTGACTTCTAAATTAACTCA